TGTAATGCAGGTGAAGAAATAGACATATCCATCAATGGGCCACAGTAAAAAAAACTTAGAAACAAGACTCATTCAAATATGTCCAAATGATTTTTGGCAAAGTTATAAAAAAAAAAAAAAAAAAGGAAGAGGGGTCTATAGTAAATGGTATTAAGAAACAAAATAAAATCACAAAAATGGGTAATATAAACATAAAACCATAAAAACTTTAGGAAAAAAATACAGGGAAGATCTCTGGGATATAGAACTTAGAAGTCTTTAGGTTTGAAAATATTCATAAAAAGATGGATAAATTATATTCATTAAAATTGTAAAAATTCTCTCTACCAAAAAAAAACCCCTACACCTAGAAGATGAGGGACAAGCTACAATCTACAGAAAATATTTACCAGACAAACATAACAAAACAAGGGTACAAGCCAGGTGCTGGTGACTCACATCTGTAATCCTAGCTACTCAGGAGACTGAAATCTGAGAATCATAGTTTGAAGCCAATCCAACAAGGAGAATCTATGAGACTCTTATCTCCAATAAACTACAAAAAGCTGGAAGTGGAGCTGTAGCTTAATTGGTAGAGTGCTAGCCTTGAGCATAACAAGCTCAGGGACAACACCCAAGCCCCAAACAACAACAAGGCTCTCAAAATTAAACAAACAAAAAGCTTCAAACAACCCACTTAGAAAATATAACAAAACAAAAACACGAGCAACTATTTCATCAAATAATACGTTAAACACTGTTCATCACTATTAACCACTGAAATTTGAGTATGAATTTGAGTATGAATCTGAGTATGAATTAAGTATGAACAGTGAGGGTATTTTGGGAGGTTTTGGAAACTTTAGGAATTAGGACCTAGCTAGAAATAGATCACAAGGGCTATGTCCCCAGGAGTTACATTTTGCCCAGTTTCTTATAGCTCTCTCTTTGGCTTCCTGTTCTCCATAGATTACGCGCAGCTTTTCTCCACCATACCCTTCCAAGATGTTGTTCAACATGTTGTTGAACACAAACTAAACCTCTAAATCAGGAGCCAAAAATGATTCTTTTCCTGTTTTAAAATTGTTTCTCTCAGCTACTGGTTATGGTAAACAAGAAATAAATGCAAATACAACAGGGAAATACTACAGTACATCAAAAAAAATTTAAAACCTAGTCTTACCAATACTGGTGAAGAAGTGGAGCAACTGAAACCACAATGGACTATTACTTCACACCTACTAAAATGGATGAAGAACATTAAATGTAACAAGGATGAAAACAAAGTAGATCACTGATAGACCACTGGTGGAATTATATTAAAAAAAATGATAATCTCTTTAGCAAAGTTTGTCAGATACAAAAACTAAAGATGCAATTACCATGTAATCTACTGTGTGCACTCACATAGCAAAAAAGGAAATAAGCCATATCTTCTCTAATTGGCAAAGTTTAATTAACAAATTGTGGCACATCTATACTATGAATTACAACCTGACTTTAAGAAGGAAAAAAACTAGTAGTGATATGATAAAGAAATGCTGTTAAAAAAAAAAAGCAATCCTCAAGCATTACATACTGTATGTCTTATTTATACAACACTTTTGAAATAACAAAATCAGAAATAAACATTACTAGTGGTGCCCAAGAGTTAAAAGAAAGCTGAGAACAAAATGAGGGGCAATGAAAATATTAGAAATGCCCTGTACCTTGACGCATCAGTGTTAATTTCCTATAGTCCTCTATTCTACAAAATGTTACCATTGAGGAAAAATGGTAACAGGTTCACAACACCTGTGTCGATTATTTCTTATATCTACTTACATAAATACAATTAGTTTTTTAAGTTTAATAAAAAATAGGATGAGAGATAAAATCACCCTTTATAAGGAAAGTTAACCTATTTAGGAGAAAAAGAGAAAAGAGCATTGGCTGGTAGAAAGGGATATTATAAGCTCAAGTTATTGAACTACCTAGATTAGGGCTTGTGAAGAGGAGGTATAGGTGGTAGTATTTGGGAGCCCTAAATAAATTAAGAAAATCTGCAGGAAACAGATTGGCTACGAAACAGAACATAATTCCTCACTTGTCTTACCGCAACTCTATAAATGTTCTTTTTTTTCTCTTTTTACCTACTGTGCAGCCCAGACTGGCCTGGACCACAAGAGGCTCTTGTCTTAGCTTCCTGTTAGGATTTAATGCTCTGCCTAAAGTACTATTCTTTTGTTGACTCATGGCATAGAAGTGGTTAATTCTTCTATAAAGTTACAAAGTATTCACTAAATCTGAAATTTTTGCTAAAAACAATAATTTTGTCTTACCACAATTTGTGTATCACTATAAATTTCAGCATAACAGAATTCTGTAGTTACTATGTAGCACAAAACTAATGAGAAAAATTTAAAAACAGACAATTATCACTATCCTGAAGGGGATAATAAATTCAAATAGAAACTATCTTACAAGTCAAACAAAAAGGAATTGCATATTCTCAACCAAGGAGGTGATTTCTCTCTTTCACAAAGACTTTCTCCTCTGCTTACTTTTATGTGAACTAGAGTGTTCTCAAGAATTAAGGACCTCCACAATCAGTTAATATAGCAACCAATGTTTATTTTTTAATCTCTTAATAGCACATGAGAGTCTACGAGCCTTAAATTTGCCAATATATACCTACATGCATTATAGGTGTCTAACAGCATATACTCTAAGATAAATTCTAAGATTAAATTTATTGTCAATACTGCCTAACAAAACTTTTAATTACAACCAACATGGTCTACCCTCAGTGAGCTGGGCAAATACATTAATTCACTAATATTTAATTCAGCTAATACATCCTGACTGGTTAGGATCAGATGATATAGCAGTGGCAACTATTGAAAACAATGTAGTTCCTGTTTTTATCTAGTAATAGGTAACTATCACAAAGTCTAATAAGTGCTAGGATGTAGACAGACATACGTAAGTTATAGCCCCAAAGGAGCACATGAAATTATCTAAATCAGTATGAAGACAAACAAGGGGAAGTTATATGTGAATAGAAAAATTAAAGATAAGCAGGCTATCACCCAGCTAAGAAGAGAAAATGATACTGATTGACACAAATATTTACAACCATCATTAGAAAAACAAAGAAAATAAAAATGTTAGGAGTAAAAGCTGATAACCAATAAACAAGTGCTGACTTTATAGATTGGAAAAAATAAATCTAAGCTGGCCAAGGAAACCAAAGAGTTTACTTGGTGCCAGTAAAATCAACAAAAATTCATAAAATGGATACACTGGGTACCTCCCAAAGCTTGTGTGGTTTCAATCTTAATATGGTTAAGTTTGTAGCTGAAACTCTATAGATGTAAATTACAATTTCCAGTTATCTTCCTCTACCATACAGAGGATAAATTACCCAACCCTTTCCAGATAGTAGACTCAAAGACCACAGGCAACACTGGTAGGGAAGGAGATGAAGAAACAATGAGATTAAGTAAATCTCTACTCCCTTAACTGTGAGAATTCTAACCCTTTCCATACCCCCTTGACAACCAAAATGTTTAGAGCTATTTATATCTTTCTCCAGGCAAGAAAAGCAAAACATTCTTCTCTGGTAAATCACAAGCATACAACCTACTTATCCACAAAAGTAGTCATAGATAATCACAGTTGGAGATTTCCCAATGAAATGACCCTATTAGATCCTCCCAAAGTGCAGCTCATAAGTCTCACATACAATGAGCTCCAGGTTAGTTGTTCAATCAAAATGTATAGCTTTCTATTTTTTTCATTTTAAAACTCATTTACTATATTTTTTTCTGTATACGAGTTTCAACTCAAGAGCTTTGTACCCACTAGAAAAACACTCCTGCTGAGTTGGCTCGTTAATTGGAGATAAGTATGTCTCAAATTTGTATGCCCTAGCAGACTCACTCTGATTCTCCTGAGTGGCTAGACTTATAGGCAGGCAAAATCACCACTATCAGCTTGTTATGGTTTCTTCTTTTTCTTTTTTTGTACTGGGGCTTGAACTCAGGGCCTTGCCCTTCCTAGGCAAACTCTATGTCACTGAGCTGTATAGTCAGCTCTTTTTGATTCTGTCATTTTTCAAATACTGTAATCTCAACTTTTGCCCAGGCCAGCTTGGACAACATCCTGTTTATGCTTCCCACATAGCTAGGATTAACAGGCACATGTCACTGCACCCATTTTTTGTTGTTAAGATGAGATCTCATGAACTTTATGCTCAAATCCTCCCAATGTGAGCTAGAATTACAGGTATGCGCCAAGTATCTGTTTCCACTCTGGTTACTTCTTAAGAGAGGGTCTTGTTTTTGGCCAGGACCAAGATCCTCTCATTTTCCATTTCCCACTGTCTCTGGAATGATAGGACTGTGCCACATCATTTCCAGCTTTCTTCTGTTCAGATGAAGTCCAGTTGATTTTTCTGCCCAGACTGGCCTGGAACTTTGATTCTTCTAACTTCATTCTCCCAAGTAGCTGAGATGACAGTTGTGTTCTACCATGCCCAGCTACTGGCTGACATAAGGTCTGTTGAACTTTAGCTCAGCCTGGTCTGGAACTGTGATCCCCTGATCTCTACCTTCTAAGTACCTTGAACTATAGCCAAGAGTGACTAGTATCCCATTTCATTTAACTTTCTGGTGCTCTATCACTTCAGACATACTTCCACTTGTGCTTTTTGCTTGTAAGTTGGAGTTAAGAGTTTCTTGGATTTGTCTGCCTGGGCTGGCTTCGAACCAAATCCTCTGATCTCAGCCTCCTGAGTAGCTAGGATTACAGGCATGAGCCACTTACACCAAGCTTATTTAATTTATAAACAATATGCTTTGATAAAAATTAAAGGTAGGGTGGATAAGAAAAAAGAATGAAAGAGTACCTAAGCAAAGTTCTAATTTCACCATTTTAAAGTAATTTCTATATATAACATAGAGAAGTTCAAAACAATTCCTCAGTCCTAAAAACATATATTCCAAATTAGGGTACCTAATAAGCAAAATGTACTCCACCTGTATATCCATTAACATAAATGGCAACTCCACTAAAAATCTCGGATGAAGTCCCATCCTTTTGCTTAGCAGCATCTGATCGAAACTGTTCATCCAATTTCTGGACCTTGGCAGCCATATATCCACCCTAGAATCAAGGGGGGAAAAAAGAGAAAAAGGTAAACAAGTCACAAAAACTTCCACTTTCATTCCATCCATTAATATTAAGTGAAGCAATCCAAGCCCCAAGAAAGATAGGTCCCATGGTTTCCCTTATTTGCAATAGCTAGTATATGTCTGGGACAAGCACAAACAGTCAGATAAGATGATGTTAAGTGAAATGAACCTCAAGATAGGGACACAGTGTTTTTTTCTTTCTTGCTATTGTTTCTAATGTATTTATAAGGTACCATGTGATTTTTTTTGTTACTTTGTATGTCCCTCCCCCATCATATAACCTCTGTTTTCACTGTATTTGATGTTGGTATAATTTGGGGAGGGGAAGGGAAAAAACAAATTGTTTAAATAGGGATACAGGTTGACCCATTGCAACAATGAGATGTACAAGACACTATCTTGAAAAATGAACATTACAATTTATAGCTGAGGAGGTGGGAGGGAAGGGATGGTAGGGAAAAAACAAAGAAGGAGGCAACAATGCTGGATAAGAAATGCACTCATTACCTTGCTCATGTAACTGTAACTCCTCTGTACAGTATTTTTCACAATAAAAAACTTATTTTAAAAAAATTACATAAGCAAACTATCTTATTTTGTGCTAGTGGCTAGGATGAAATGATGACCTCCTAAACATGAACTACAAGTCAAGACAATAAGTACACTAAGACTTTTATCTATCAATTCTATTTTTTAAAACATTTTATTACCTCTTAAGGGTGTTTCTTTTAAAAAGAGAAAAGATAAGTCAATACTGAATATCATAAAACACCACTCCTAACTACAAAACTGAGCAAATTACTTCAGAGTTAAATCAATCAAGTATTTGGCAAATGGCTTAAGAGTTTTAGACTATCTTCTACTTTCTCCTACACAGGAAGCTTAAAATGAAGCAGCTGACCAGCAGTCTCTATAAACAGGAACAAGAATACAATGAGTAATTTAATGGCTAAGTTCTGGAGCTAATCAATCTATCTGGTAGTAGTTTAACTTTCATTAGGTAACTTTAACTTCCGAAAAAACATATAAAGCTATCATTTAAACACTTTGACAATTATGAAATCAGTCTCAATTTTCCTAAACCACGGATAATTAAGTTTGTTTTGAAATGTCAGTGCCAAGATACATACTTATTTACAAAATGTGAATCACTTGTTTTAAAGTCTTACATGTTCATTATTTAAAAAATTCAGAAAATGTAGAGTATAAAAAGGTATAATCCCATTAATAAATATTTTCAGGATGTTATTTTCAAACCTTACTTCTGTATCTCAGAATACAGAGGGTTTGTTACATATGCAATATGCTCATGTAATTCATTGTCCTAGTTAAGGCTATCATTCCTGTTTAAGAAATAGACAGTTAAGTAGTAACTACAGTGTTCTACTATATACAGAAAATGCAGTTGACCCACTCTTTGATACTACATATTCATGTGTCTTCCTATTTCTCGGTATTATTATCAATGTCAGAAAAAGTCATCACTATACACTCAGTTTATATGTTGAGGCAAATTTACTTCATCAGGATACAACTCCTGACAGTAAAGTTTAAGGGCTAAGAACTTATTATGAACACTGTGAAGTTTTCAATGTACTGGACTGGGAAAACACAGAATTGTTAAATAAATGGTTTACAACTGAAGCTTAAGTTACATTATAAACTTTAAAAAGTATTAAAATACTTTGTTCAGTATCACTACTTTTATATTTATTTGTTTATTTATTTATTTATTTGTCGGTTGTGGGGTTTGAACTCTGGATGTGAGCACTGTCCCCTCAGCTCTTCAGCTCAAGGCTAGCACTAGCTCTACCACTTGAACCACAGTGCTTCCGGTTTTCTGAGTGATTTATTGGAGATAAGAGTCTTACAGATTTTCCTGCCAGGACTGGCTTTGAACCACGATCCTCAGATCTCAGCCTACTGAGTAGCTAGGATTATAGGCATGAGCTACCAGTGCCCAGCTACTACTTTTATTCTTTAAAACATACCCATTTTTCCCAGCCATCATTTTCAGCTCGCTTCCTCCATCCACCTCGTCTCATGGTGGAGCTTCTGTTTTGGGAAAAAAATAAAATCAACTTTGTAATACAATATACTCCTAATTGATACTTTATTCCAGTATCAAGTAAAAGAAAATAAACTCAAATGTTCAATTAATGAAATCCAGAAGCAATTTCAAATACTTTCCCAAAATGTATCACTCTTTAGACTGTTTTACAAGTTATTTTTGTTCCTAAAATACCTTCATTCGAGTCTCATGACAAATTTAACTTTCAATTTCAATTTCAACTGGAAAAATTTTTATACATCCCTGACCATTAATCCTAACATCTACTTACATAACATAGCAGAAATCCAGCAATATGGCCACACTTATTTGATAACACTAATTACTGAAACAGAACCTAATAAAACACATCCCTTCATTAATTGTCCTGTAATATCGGTCTTAAATTCTGTTACTACATACTACATAATCAAGAATCAACACAGTATAATCACCTATTCCACAAAACACCCTAAAAGAAATCAGTTAAGCTAATAGAACACAGGGGGATCTGATGCATAAAGATGATCATTGATAACGAATTAGTAAAAAAAATCTACTGTTCTTCTTAAACTAACAGTAGTACAAAACCACCAAGAAGATCAATCATTCATCTCCAATGGCAGTGAGAATAGTGCTTGCAAGACATAACTCATAATTCAAAATGGGCACTAAATGATTCTTGAAATTATTCTAAACAAAATAGAAGCATATTTGGACATGATTGCATACCTTTCACAAAATTTATGTAACATTTATTTTTCTCTTAACTATAGGTTTCTATTAAATGGTTACTATTACAGGTTACAGCTATATAGTATTATGTAATTATAATCAAATTAGCTTTGATATGATTTATGAGAACTTTTACTGAACACCCTCAACATGATACTTTATCCATGCCATATATATTAGTAGATACTTTCTTTCAAATACTTTTGGTCTTGATATATTGTGGGGTTTGGTTTCTTTTGTTGACATTCATTATTAAGTGAATTTGCACTGGAAAAACTTAAATTATTTTGCGTAAATAATTCTTAAAGGGAAGACTAGGTAGAACCAAGATAATACAAATGATTTAGAGGAACAAAGTACTCTAAGAACAAGAAGTAAACTATGTGAACAGGTTGATATAAACAGGTTAAGGTTGATATAAACAGGAATATGAATGTCAAATACCACTTGATAATGTGTCCAAGTATCAATACCAAATCCCTAAATATGAACATATTTTTATCATTTTTTTCCCAAGTGGCTCCTTTTTCTAGCCCCTGAAGATTTCAAGTTCTCACTCTTAAAAGAGCCTAAAAGACATGTTAACATATAGGTTCTAACTTCAAATAACTCTAATTCCATATACTTTATCTGACAAGACCTTCTAGGTTCCTACTGCTAAAAGCCAGTAATAAAAGTCTTTACTGATGATGTAATGATGGTAGATAAGAAACTTGAATGCTGGGCAATACATTGTGTTTCTAAAACTGCCCCAAGGCATAGAAGGCCTAATGGAATATTAATGGCCAAGAATCAGAAGACAATCATTTTTAAGACAGTGAGCTACTTCATCTCACTTCTTTCCCAAAATGGAATTGCTTTTCTCACTGATAGCTGAATAGGCACTGTTTTAGACAAACAGCACTAGGAAAATGATAATAGGAGTCCTGGAGTCATCCAAGGATACAGATCTCTATACTTAGGTTTAGGAATCTAGGAATAAGAACAAACTGCAAGTAAACTGAATCAAACTGCCAAAACTGAATCCTCACATACATTATTTCAATTACTGAAATAAAAGGGATCCTGCTACAGCTTCAAGGCACTTGGCAAAAACAAATGTAAATCCATAATGGATGAAAATAATATCCTAAACTTCACGTCTATACAATCCATTTTGCAAATACAATGCCTGGCACAAAAACAAATACATCCATCACACAAGGAGAACCAGCAGAACAACAACAAAATTACAGACTTACAGAGACTGTAGATAATGAATTTAACATACATTTAAAAATAGCCATGGTTATCTTCAAGTAAATTAAAGGAAAAATAATTCTGAATGTCTCATTTAAAAAAAAAGAAAGAAAGAAATGGGAATAAAGCAAAGAAACAGTAGCTCTACTCAAGGAAAAGGTTTTAGTGGGAAGGGAGAGGAAGTGACCTAGAGCACAAAGCTAACAAACACCATCACACACACCTCCACAATTCTAGGAAACATCGACACAGACCAGACATGCAGTGGAGCCACCTGACAGCCTCAACTGCAAGGCTAAAGGGAAGATGCAAACATCGGGAAGCAAACATGTACCTTTCTCAACACTACAGTTGACATGCACTGTATATAATTTACTGACACATGTGTATCTCCTTTTGGATACTCAAAATATTGTAATGAAAACATTGAGTATATAAAATTGCCGTTTATCTTGTGGTAGTCAGTATATATAATATGTAAAACATGGCTACAATACAAATAAATATGCTTAAAATATATGATAGCCCAACATATCAGTATCTGAAAAGGTATTTGGAATGTTTAATCTTATATACCTTTTCTTAAATTTAGTAGTTGTACAAAGAGGTTACAATTCTGTTAAGTCAGGTTATGAGCACAATGCTTTTTGATCAATGTAACCCCTTCCATCACATTCTCCCGATTTCCCTCCCATCCCTACCCTCAAGTTATTGTTTTTCATTTTAAAATTTTTTTAAAATTCACAATTTCTATGCTAATCATTTAAGAGCCTTACTATAGACCTCTACTCCTGCAAAGTGTTCACAAACAAAATTGCCTAGTGACACTTTCTTTTTTTTTTGTTTTTTTGTCGGTCGTGGGGCTTGAACTCTGGGCCTGGGCGTTGTCCCTCAGCTCTTCAACTCAAGGCGAGCGCTCTACCACTTGAGCTACAGCGCCACTTCCTCTAGTGATACTTTCTTAGCAAGAACACAACAGATGAAAATAGCTAAAAGACATTTAGAAGGTTGATAATATAGCATAAAATCAGTAATTTGCTAACGGGCCCTTTTCTTAGAAACTGTGATGGGAGGACATGTAAAGGGTGTAAATTTCTGCTAACCAGTAAGAATCATCAAAAAAGCAAGCAGCTCTGACAGTGCCTCTGCAGTCCTGTCTAGAAAAAAAACTGTTCTATGAGAGTGATGAGATTCTTCAAGTAGAATTTTCTCTAATAAAAGGAGGGCAAAAAAATCAGGATACCACTAACTGACAGAAAAATCCCTCAGAAAAACGCCTTTTTCCAATCCTGTACTTCAGGTAACTTTTCAAATTACTTTGTGCCATTTTTACTACATTAAGAAGAATGGGTCAAACGCTGGTGGCTCAAACCTGTAATCCAAGCTAATGAGGAGACTTGAGTTCTGAGCACCGTGGGTTGAAGCCAGCCCAGGGAGGAAAGTCCATGAGACATTTAACCAGCAAAAAGCTGGAGGTGGAGTTGTGGCTCACATGGTAGAGCACTAATCAGCACAAAAGCTTGGGGACAGCAACCTGGTCCCAAGTTCAAGGTCCAGGACTGACACACACACAAAAAAGAGATGGGCTCTGTATTAAATACAGTCATCCAATTGCCTAGCTAGGCTTTTAAATACAAAGAGTGAGAATCTCTTGTAGACTGGATTTCCAAGACCTTTGGAAAGTGATAAAGAATTTTAAATCTAAAATAACTTATCAATATTCCTTATGCGGCAACATTAACAGATGTGCAACTATAAGTGCCAAAATAGTGCCTAAAAGAACAAAGGGTAAATTAGTATGTGTGAAAGTACATTTATCCCTAGCATTTTGATTATGACCTCAACACTAGCTATTAGTGGACTATGTCCAGCTCCCTTTGTCAATATGCAATAACAGCTAACCAGGTGAGGTAAGTTAAAGGCAAACAGAGTAGTTAGTGGGTCATGCCTGTAAGTACTGGGTCCTTGGAAGGCTGAAGTTGTTGGGATCAAAGTGTAAGGCCAATCTAGGCAGAAAAAGTTTGTGAGAACTGTAAAACAGAATCTGTGCTCCGTGATGCACACCTTCTATCCTATCAGGATACTTAACATAGGTAAATTATGCCTGGACAGAAAATGAGGCTCTATCTCAAAAATAGCGAGCAAATGTAAGCACTGAGAGTGTGGTGTAACAGTAAGAGTGCCTGTCTGGCAAGCATGAAGACTACATTTTAAGTTCCAGTACCAAAAAATAAAAAGAACTGATACTGTAGGGATGATTCTCCCCAGCAACTAAACTGGCATTGTATGTACACAAAAAATTTTAAATTGAGATTTAGGTATTTCTGAAGTTTTAAAATTTATTCATTTTTATAACACTTGGCACAAACCTCAATGAATCTACTAATAAGGCAAGCTTACTATACAGAAGATTTAACATGTTTGCATCAGTATTGATCAGTTACATATTCATAACTCTAAAAGTCTGTGGACTATTAAAAAATGAAACTGAAAGCTGAGTGCACATTGTCAGTCCCTGCCAGAAAACCACACCGACATCCAGGCACAAAGAATAAAGAAAGGTTTATTGCCAGCAAAGGGACCAGCAAGACCCCTTCTCACAATATGAGAAGTGTGGCTATAGTCTGGGGTGACCTAAATAACCCAGAGGGGCTAGGAGGCGGGGACTATGGTATGGACCTGTGAACCAGGGGCTTCATCATGGCAGGCTAGGATTTGTAGCTGCTGCCCAAGTGGCAGAGGTGTCTGCAGCTGCCCAGACTCTAAAAAGGGAGCTTGTTGTCTTATATGGTTGTAACTGCTCCAAAGGAGTGCCAAATTAAGGAGTAAAGGGGATAGGAAGCCAATTATTTATTGCCTATACCAAATGGACATAGTCTTGCCTGGGAGAAGAGCATGCTAAGGCTATGGAAAAGGAGCCTATTAGACTAACATACATACTTGCAATTTTAGCACTCAAGATCTTGAGTTCTAAAGCCAGCCTGAGCCACAAAGCCAGAGGCTCTATCTCAAATAACCAAATGAACAAACA